ACCATCTCCCCCCCACACACACCCCCAGCTTACTCCTGTTCCTTGTTTTCATCTCACTTCCTCTGCAAAGGTTTACCTTGTACATAAGTGTGAGTTCAGTGCCTCCCTGTTCTCGCAGCGCCTGTACTAACCCAGCAGGGCATTTAGTCCTTATTTTACTGCCCATTTACTATCAGTCTTTCCCACAAAAATATAAGCTTCATGAAAAGAATTACTGTCTCTGTCTTTTCTACTTCTTATCTCCTAGCATAGTACTTAGGACATTATAAGACCTCATTGAATATTCATTTGCTGAATTCATAAATGAATGTTGTTGGTGAACTGACCTTAATTTATTACTTTAAAAATATTGTAGGTTTTTTTGGGGCCAGCAGTTGGCATAATGGCCATGTCACTGGACTCCCATGTAGTCAACCATGGTTTGAGTCCCAGACCTGGTGGCTTAAACTCAAGCCAGGTGCGTGTGCATGTGTGCCCAAGATCTTGAGAGGAGAATGGAGGAGAAGGGATTGCGGCGTGGCCATCCCCCCTGGGGGGTGATTTCTCACTTTCTGTCTCTCTGTCTTTCTGGTGAGTACATGTGCCCTATAGCAAAAATCTCTCCAAAAGAATTGTAGATTTTTAAAAAAGAACTATTTATTATTATTATTATTATTTAATTTGACCAGAGAGAAACAGAGAAAAGGAAAGTGAGAAAGCAAGGTGCCAGGTCCAGGACTTGAACCATGGTTGTCCATGTGGGAGTCCAGCACCTTAACCACCATGCCACCTGCCAGCCCCCAAAATATTATAGATTTTATATCTGAATTGATAATCATATGATTACTTACAAATACACAAATGGATAGGAAACATGGTAACACTCTATTGCCGGGACCAGCAGTTAGTGTAATGGCTATGTCGTTGGACTCCCATGTAGTCGACCGTGGTTCAAGTCCCAGACGCAGTGGCTTAAACTCATGCCAGGCGTGTGTGCGTGCATGCCCAGGATGCAAGAGGAGAATGGAGGAGAAGGGATTGTGGTGTGGCCATCCCCCCAGGGGGTGATTTCTCACTTTCTGTCTCTCTGTTGCCATTTATGATTTGTAAAACAACTTTTTGAATTTTCACATTAAAAAACTAGGGACCAGCAGATGGCTAATGGTTACAAAGCTGGACTCCCATGTAGTCGACTGCAGTTTGAGTCCCACACCAGAGGCTTGAAACTTATGCTAGGTATGCATGCATGTGTGCCCAAAATCCCAAGAAGACAATGGAGGAGAAGAGATTGTGGTATGGCCATCCCCCCCCGGGGGGGTGATTTCTCACCTTCTGTTTCTTTGTCTCTCTCTCTGTCTCTCTGGTGAGCGCACATGCACTATAGAAAAGTCTCTTGTTAAAAGAAAAAAAACCCTAAAAACCAAAAACAAACAAATAACTAGTTAGGTTTACTTTTTATACTTTAGAATAAAACAAAAATATAAACTATAAAAACAATCTGGCCTCGACATATTTGATGGGTTCTTGTATGGAGGAGGAAATCATAATTTTGTTTGTATAAAACAGTGGTATCCAATGTATATGTTGAGAATTTCTTAAATATTTCCTCTTATCTCTTGGACATAAATTTTTGGTTGTTCTTTGACTATTATAATATCTTTAGTCTGTTTCTTGTGCTTTTGGAGGCTTGTTGGTTAAAAAAACATTATTCATTCTTTTTAAATTCTGATTTAAATCGCTGTATTTGGTTAAATATATTTGAGTGTAATTAGGTTGGGATTTTAGTCACAGGCTATATTTTCAGATTCACTCATTTAATAATGGATAATAAAATTTTGAAGTAAAAATTCCAAGATGAAAAAGGATAAACACATTAAGCTTTAATGTAAACATCAGGATGGCTATTGTACAAAGAATTCATCCAATAATGTAAATGTCTCCACATGTCTGAAATGGGGAGCCACACATGGTTTACAAATAAACATTATTTTGTACACACCTCTTACAAGTGTTTAGGCTGACTGGTATTTCTTATAGAATTCCAAATGAATATCACGAATGTGTATAAAAAGAGCAAAATGCTTTGTTGAATCTAAATAGATTTGTACAAAGAGAGCCCATATCATGACACACAACATTTTAGGATTTAAGTGCTAAATTATATATGTTCAACAACAATATTACAATGTCCCTGAAGCAATTTAAAGTTCTTTCTAAGTATTTGATACCTTTTTAATCTTTGTTTGCTAAGATAATCACAGTAGCCTTAAAAATAAACATTTTAGAGTCACTTGATTTCCTCTTTTAGCAGATAATGAAGTAAGAGGGGCTCAGTTTTTTTCCGCCTTTTGGAATTGGTGTGCAACTTGTCCTATCAGGAGGTACTGTGACTGCAAGGTATCCTGGGAAGAATTTTCTGCCCACACAGAATGCCTGCCCCCATAGCTGACTGCTGAGTTTCAGTTCATTTGATCTAGATTCGTGCTGTCAAATAGAAGTTTCTGTAATATGGAAGTGTTCTATAATCTGTTATAATCTGTGCTATACAGTGTGGGTAACCGCTAGGCACATAGGGCTGTTGAACACTCTAATTGTGGCAGGCGCAACTAAGGTGATGAATTATTTACTTACTTATTTTAATTAAAAAAAATGTTTTAATTGCCAAAGGGCATGTGTACTCATTGTACACTCATTACAAAGAGATAGGGGCGGGGGGCCGTGATGCAAAGGGGAGGGAGAAACCAACACCCAGTGCGGCGTGACCATGCCACAATTCCTTCTATTCCATTTCTCCATCCTGACAAGATTTGGGGTTTGCATACACACGCGTGTGGCATGATTTTCAAGCCACTGGGGCAGAGATTTGAACTGCAGTTGGCCACATTAGATCTGGCTCACTTAACTAGATTATAGGGGTAGCCCTGAAGTTGTTTTTATTTGTTCATTTTGTTTGTTATTGTTTTTGGTTTGGCTACAGAGTGTATGAACTTGCTGGAGAGAGAGAAAGAGAGAGAAAGGGAGAAATCACTCCCTGGGGAGGATGGCCACACTGCAATCTCTTCTCCTCCATCCTCCTCTTGGGACTTTGGGTCCACACACATAAGCGTGCCCCACATGATTTTCAAGCCACTGGGTCCAGGACTTGAATTTCAAAGTCAGCCATGTGGTATCCAGCCATCTTGACTTCCATGCCATCTGTTGGCCCCAGCCTGAATTTATTTCATATCATTTAAATTAACTTAAACAGCCTCACAGAGCTAGTGGCTAATCTATTTGGCAGCGCACAGCACAGAATTTCTTTCCACTGTTAGATTTAGTATGGACTTGCCCATGGAAAAGTCAACTTTAATGTATATTAATTCACTTGTCTTATGTTATAAATGTCAAGTGCCAAGTGAATTTGTGTGCCTAGTATCAGAATACTGTTCCTGAGATGTCCCAATTCTGCTTTTAGGGGAAGGTGTGGAGACCTGAATTGTGTCATCCACATGCTTCTGTGAACAAGGCCTTAGCAACAGGGGCCCTGCTGTTTCTGCAGGAGCTGGCTCTCTTTCATCCGGAACTCCAGGGCCCAGCATGGCAGGGCCATATCTTCTGTCTTCTGGGATGAGGGCATGAGGGGGGCTCCTCTCCCCTAGCCATGAGTTTTGGCATGCTCAGGGCTGCATCTACCTGAGGAAGGAACACCTATTTGAAATTTCTCCAAAAGGCATTGTGTGGACTAATGTAGCTAGTCACTGTGGTTCATTCCCACTTCTTGCTTTACTGTCTTAGCTGCTTCTCACATTTCCCTCAATAAATTTTTTGTGGAAAAGCAGCTAACCCTTCACAGCTAACTGATACTTACTTTTCCTTTTTTCTGGCTTTATCGAGATATAATTGAGTAATTTTAAAATGTGTATATCCAAGGTGTATGATGCAATAATATATAATATAAAATATATTTGCATTGTGGAATGATTGCCACCTCACATAGTTACCTTTTTGTGTGCATGATAATATTGAAGATCTACTCTCAGCATAGTTCAAGCAAACAATACATTATTATTAACTATACCCCCCATACTGTACATTGGCTCTCCAGAACATACTTTATAACTGTGAGTCTGTACCCTTTAACCAGCATCTCCCCATTTCCTCTACCCTTGATCCTGGTAACCATTCTTTACTCCCTATTTCTTTAAGTGAGATTATGTGGTATTTTTCTTTCTCTGCCTGGCTTATTTCACTTAGCCTAATATCCTGCGAGTTCACCAGTGTTGTCCCAAAGGTAAGATTTCCTTCTTTTAAAAGGCTGAAAAATATTCCGCTGCATGTAGGTATATAAATGTCTCTATCTGTTCAACCATTGCTAAATACTTAGGTTTTTGTCAAAATTTGGTTCTTGTGAATAATGTTGCAGTGAATATGGGAGTGCAGATATCTCTTTAACATACCAATTTCATTTCCTTTAGGTAAATACTCAGAATTGAGATAGTGGATTATATGGTGGTTTTATTTTTTATTTTTTTGAGGCACCTTCATAGTGTTTTCCGTAATTGCTGTACTAATTTATTGAGTGGTCAGAAAAGTTATGACGTATTTTTTTCTATGCAAAAATATGTCATGACTTTTCCAACAACTCAATATATTCTCACCAATAATGTGATTTCCTTTTCTCCACATCCTCACCAACACTTTATCTTTTGATTCTTTGACAAGAGCTATTCTAACAGGTGTCAGTGATATCTCATTGTGGCTTTGATTCGCATTTCCCTGATGGTTAGTGAGGTTGAGTACCTTTTCATATACCAGTTTGCCATGATCTTCCTTAGAAATATCTGTTCAGGTCTTCTGCTCATTTTTTAATGAAAAAGGAGCATATGGAATGGGAGAAAGTACTTACAAATCATATTAGTCAGTAATGGATTAGTACCCTAAATATATAAGGAACTCATACAAAATAATCTGATTTAAAAATGGACAAAGGACCTACTTTTTTCTCATGTTTTTGTTTTGTTTTGTTTTTGTTTTTGTTAAAGGTGTCTTACCTCCTGGAAGGGGGCAGCATGGCCCATGAGGACTTCTGTGGACATGTTGGTAAACTGAACCCAGGAGACCTGCAGGTATGGCCAAGAACAAAAACTGCTGATAGTTTAGTAGTCTTTGGGTATATATGTTTGAACCTGCCCATTTTGGTACATGCACCCTTTTTGCCCTCTTCCTCTTAAATCTGTGCTCTCTCCCTTTCTTTGGATCTTTCCACTCAGCCTGGAAGCCTGCATAGGTGTCTCCTATTGCACTCTCACACTTTCCTTGACTCCTCAATCACTTTTTAGCTCCCACTTAGTCTTTTTCTTACATTTTTCAAAAGAATAATTACAAGTGACTTGTCTCAACTTTCTTATTTTCCATTTTCTCCTCTACTCACTGAAATCGGATTGGTCTTCCAGACCTTTACTGAGGCTGTTCAGATAATGATGTTTCAATTGCGAAACTCAATGACCATTTTGGTATTCATCTTTGTAGACCTCCCTGCTATACCTCAGATGATTTTTTTGTTTATCTTTGAACTTCTTTGCAGGGCTAAGTGTTGTCACAATGACAATGACCTACATCTCTCTACCGTCTTAATCTTGTCTAAGATATGTTACAGTGAAAACCCCCAGGAAATGCTTGCATTATCTTTGCCAGTTTTTTAAGTCTGAAGTCTGTATCATTACTTTCCACAAAATTATATATTTTGTGGAATGATGAGTGCACCTGTTTGAACCATGGTTTTAATGAACATGAACTTTAAAGATGGAAAAGAAGGACAAAGAGTCATGGTGAAAAGTCACCAGTGACCTCTCTTTGGATCAGAACATGGAATGGAGATTGCCTAGAAAGGTAGATATGGTGACTGGGCATGTCATCATCATGGCAGTGGCAACTTCTGCCATTTGCACCCTCAGCAGCCATATCTGAGAAATAATAGTCAACACTTCTTCTGCCTTTGAAATTTCACATTTGATCAGGGTGGTAATTGCATAGTGTCTTTCAGCTTATTTAGTATTTTTATATGCATGATCTCTTTGAGCTAAGTCTTATTTTTCTAGTTTTAAAAATGAGGGAAGGAGCCAAGTGGTGGTGCAGTGATAAAACATGATGAATCTCTGTGAGGCTGACCCACCTAGGAAGGTTCTCGGTTTGTGTCAGGAGACCTACCTGACAACACCCCATGATGTAGGGCTGACTAAGGATGGAGGTGGATTGTGGTGTCAAGACCCTGTTGGGTGCTGTTTCCATGTCTCTGTTTCTGTATCTCTCTGTCTCCTCTTACTCATGAAAGAAAGAAAGAAAGAAACATTTTTAAAAAGTAAGTAAAAATAGTGCAATGGTAATTTAAAGTTGTTTTTCTAAGAAAATGATGCCTATGGTATCAGAGATAGTAAATGACAAGGATGAAAAGAGAACTGTGTTTTCCCCTTCCATATCCAGTGAGTAGGCCATATTAAGAAAGGTCTTGCCAAACTCGGTTATATATAAAAAAGATAACCAAGGTATTACAAATATGGCAAGATTAACTGTTAACAAAACAGGAAAATGCTTACAAATGGGAGGATGTCTTTGGAAAACATCAATTAACTATTGTCAGACAAGAGAGATCCAGCATGGAAGTGTATTTAGATCTACTTTATATTTCATTAGAATGGGGGTTGGAGGAGCCAGCAGATGGCATAATGGTTACATCACTGGACAACAACGTAGTTGACAGTGGTTCAAGGCCCAGACCCAGTGGCTTAAAACTCACGCCAGGTGCGTGTGCATGTATGCCCAAAGTCCCAAGAGGAGAATGGAGGAGAAGGAATAGCTGCATGGCCAGTTTCCCTGGAGGGTGATTTCTCTCTTTCTGTCTGTCTCATGCACTCTATAGCAAACATATCTCTCTTAAAAAAAAAAAAAAGAATGAGGATTGGAAATTTTTTTTGTTTAAAGTAATGGCCAGGTTGTAAATGTTTTAGGCTTGTGGGCTATATGGTCTCTGTTGCAACCGAGAGCAGACATAATATGTCAATGAATGGACATGCCTGTGTGCTAATAAACCTTTACAAAAACAGGTGGCAGGCTAGTCTTAGTCCTCAGGCTGTAGTTGGCTACATTACAAGGTCTGGATTGGGAATTTTTTTTGTTTAAAGTAATGGCCAGGTTGTAAATGTTTTAGGCTTGTGGGCTATATGGTCTCTGTTGCAACCGAGAGCAGACATAATATGTCAATGAATGGACATGCCTGTGTGCTAATAAACCTTTACAAAAACAGGTGGCAGGCTAGTCTTAGTCCTCAGGCTGTAGTTGGCTACATTACAAGGTCTGGTCAGCTTTATCAAGTGGAAGATAAAGGGAAATCTACGTAGACTTGTTGAAAGAAAGAAATCTCTAAAATATATACAGACCTTCTTCCAGGTAATTGAACTAATAATACTCTTGTCTCAGAATCTTTTTTACATGCTGTTCTTTTTGTATATAATCTTCTTCCCCTTCCCCTGGTCCATTCTTACTCTCAGGTAAGCTGCCTTGAACTTGGCAGGCCACTGTGTGTATGCTGTCATTCTTCACAGTGCCAAGCACAATTGTAATGTACTTATTTGTGTAATTCTTTATTTAAGGATGTTTCTCCCTATGTGGAGGGCTATGTGGAAGATGCTGTTGATAGCCTGCCTTGTAGCCCCTTGACCCACCTTTGAATTCAGGTGATCACAGTCCCCTCTGTGTACATAACACCCTATCTCAAGTCCTGCTATTCTGCCTGAGGGCTTTTTCTTTTTTTGTCTTTTTTTGGAGAGGTTTTTGCTATAGGGCATGTGCGCTTGCCAGACAGAGAGAGACAGAGAGACAGAAAGCGAGAAATCACCCCCCAGGGGGATGGCCATGCCACAATCCCTTCTCCTCCATTCTCCTCTTGGGATCTTGGGTATGCACGCACACGTGCCCAGTGTGAGTTTAAGCCACCAGGTCCGGGCCTCAAACCACGGTCAACTACATGGGAGTCCAGCGACAAAGCCATTACACTAACTGCTGGTCCCCCTGAGGGCTTTTTCTAGCCTGTATACTAGGCAGCCTGGATTTAACATTCCAGTGAGAAGTCTTGGTCAATGAGGGATTGGAGGTGGAGTCTAAATACCCTAGCTTCCCCCCCCTCCATGCAGTAATTCTAAGATGCATCGGCAGGCATGGTTCCCAGTGGGATTGAGCCTCAGGTACCCCTGCTCATTAACACCTTTCTTCTTTGTCTATTTCACTGCTCCTTCACATTTCAAATAGACACCTGCACATAAGTCCTTGTCATGTTCACCTTGCCTCAAGCTGAGACAATTCCGAATGTTCATCCCAATTCCAGCACTCCCTGTTGGATTGGCTGAGGCCTCCGTTGTAACTGTGCTGTTGGTTGGCTTCTCTCCTGCCCAATCCTGCTTTATTTCACTTCTTAAATTGTATCTCCTAGAAGCACACACCAATTTACTGTCTGCCCACAACTCCTCATCTCAGAGGTCAATCTGAACCCCAAGGATATGAAAAAGAGTATTCATGTGGGAATCCCGGTACCGATGCTTTGATTTCAAATGTGGAAGCATGGGAAGTATTTGGGAAACTGGAAAGGGTGCCAGCCACTGTCATTGATGTTTGTTATCCTCACCACTCCCAGGGACACTGACAGCATCACCTTAAGAGCCTCACTTAACAACAGCATTATTATTGTCTCATCTGTAGACTTGTTAGTGGCTGGGTTACATTTTCCTTCTTGTTGGTTTGGTGTTTGCAGTGGATGACAGCGGGTCGGGGCATTCTGCACGCTGAGATGCCTTGTACAGAGGAACCAGCCCATGGCCTACAACTATGGGTTAATTTAAGGAGCTCAGAGAAGATGGTGGAACCTCAGTACCAGGAACTGAAAAGTGAAGAAATCCCTAAACCCAGTAAGGATGGTGTGACAGTTGCTGTCATTTCAGGAGAAGCCCTGGGAATAAAGGTAAGCCATGGTATTGTGTGTCTGTAAAATCTGAAGTGTGCAGTACCATAAGGCTGGCCCCTTCTGGGTTAACTGTCACTGTGTGGGTTGTAGTTTATGTCTTGAGGGATGGAGTTGCTTCATAGGTATTAGAATAAGTGCAACCTAAGGGAACATGGAAATTTTTTCACTGCATCCAAACCTATAGGGTTAAAAAAATTACAAGAAAGCAAGCTCATATACATTATATTATTTGGTCAAAGAACAGTTTTCAATGTATGCCCTAATATGCATGCACTTTTAGCCAAATTCCTTTCACTTATGATGAAATTTTATGCTTTGAATTATAGCTCCTTAGTACTGCAAGATCACCATCTATAAGAAACAAACAAACAAACAAAAAAACAGACCAATTCCACTCTGCAGAGATTTATGTAAATTATTTATGCCCACCTTACTAAGTTAGGAAAGTACACTACTACATGATTAAAAAGTTATACTTTCAAATTCATTTGACCATTTATTGAACCCAAATACACATTTTCTCCTCAACTGAGACTTTGCACTATTTAGGTTTTGAGTCTCATCTTTTTGATCAAATAAGGTTCATTTAGCCCAAAGATTGTGGACATACTTGTGGAGGAAAGAGTACTGCTGCTGGGGTGGCTAAGCATCCTCACACCAACCAGTTCAAGGTAATGGAAAGCTGGGTAGCATGTTCTTTTAGATGGGCTTTCCCAGAAGCAGACCCTGAGCTTTGGATTCCTGTGTAAGTCATTTTTAGTAAGTGCTCCCGGGGGACCAGTGAAAGGAACCAGGACAGGGGAGAGGAAGCCAAGCAAGAAGAGGGAGGCTTGGATAATCCCCACAGAGGACTCTGGAGAATCAGTAAGCCTCAGACTTGCCCTTACCTTTCTAGACAAGGGAGCTGAACTAGTATGCTCCCTCATCCAACATCATGATTGGGGCCATTGACTTTGGAGTGGAGGTGGGGGGCTCATAAATACTTAAAAGCAATTTGAGAGAGTCTGAGAGGGTCCCTGACATTGGGTGCTACGCATGGCACCTGGCACTGAGAGCATCGCCATATTGGGAGCTACTTTGTCATCCTCCCAACAGCCAGCTGGTACTCGAAACTATTTTAAATACTAATTATGTAAATTTTAATTTTTTTTTAAATTTAAAATGTAGGGCATGTGTGCTCACTGGAGAGAAACAGAGAGAGACAGTGAGAGGGAAAATGAGAAATCACCATTCTCCAAGGAAGGATGGCCATGCTGTAGTTCTTTCTCTTCCACTCTCCTCCTGGGATTTTGGGCATGCATGCACATGTGCCTGGCATGATTTTCAAGCCACCAGGTCTGGGGCTCAAACCGTGGTCAACCATTTGGGAGCCTGGCACCTTAATCACCATGCCACCTGCTGGCCCCAATAAATTAAAAATTTTTAATGTGTACTTGCTGAGATTCTGGCCTGGCAGGGGCTACTAACCAGTCACTGAATGGGATGCATTACATAGTTAATGAATTGCTTGTGATTATTGGTTGAGATTTACTGGGTTTTATTTATTTACTGGGTTTAATTTATTTCAGTGCATTTCTTTCCTGCACTGTAACCACAGTAGTTCTGTATCTGTACCATCCCTATGTCTTATTTCACTTTGTGTTTCCATTGCATCCAGACGTAATTGAAGAGAAGAAATATCAAAGTGCACTTTCTATTAAGCATATCTGACTGCTAACCACACCCCTGGCAGGCTCTTGCTTACTTTGTAGTTGAAAACAAGCCTTCCTTGTATTTCCGCAACTAGTTTCTGTTTTGCCAAGCAGTGAGCAGTGCTCTTTTCAGCTTTTGTGAAGTTTCCTTCCCTTTAGCTCCACAGAGTTAAGATCCTGTGAAGTCTACCTGGTCCAAGGCCCAAGGACATCACTGGGAGTAGTATCAGGCAGAGAAGCCTAAGAGAAGCTGAATTAATGCAGGTGCAATATGCTGCTCACTCCATCTCACCTGGTGTTTTTCATTCCATGTTTCCAGGACTCTCAGGATCTGGGGCACACCTTCAGGGGATACTGAGGTAGATGGTGAAGATCACATCCCTGCCCCCACCCACTTCAACCATAGCATGAGAATGCCTGGTTGTATATATTGGGATTGTCCATTAGATTTTATGTAGAAAAAGTTAAGTTGTCAGCAGCTAAAAAGAGAAATCACATCAGTGATTTAATAGATGAGCAAAGCCAGCAAAATCACGAATCCCTAAAGTTGAAAACTGCCTCTCACTTAAAGAAAACACGAGGCAATTTTAGGGTTGGAGCCAGTCCCAGTTATAGGCTGAAGGATATTTTTAAAGCACATTCAAGCAGCATGTCCAAAATCCCGAGAGGAGAATGGAGGAGAAGGGACTGTAGTGTGTGACCATCCCCCGAGGGGTGATTTCTCGCTTTCTGTCTTTCTGTCTCTCCAGCAAGTGCATGTACCCTATAGGAAAAATTTCTCAAAAAAGAAAGAAAGAAAGAAAAAGAACTGGGTCTTAAAAAATCTAAACCTACCTTGCAAAAACAAACTAAAGATTGTTTTGCATCAGGAAGATAATTCTAAGTCAAATTAAGAGGTGAGGCCAAACATTTGCCTTTCAAGAGACTGATGTATTTATAAGCAATATAGAGTTCACAACTCCCTTCCCTGCAGCTGAAATGTCTAGAAAACGGATAAGTGACCAAATTCAGTGTTCATGTAGATTGCTTGAGAGTCTTGATAAGATGCAGATTCTGGCTCAGTAGTTCTGGGGTGGGGTCTGAGATTTTGCATTTCTTTTCCTTTGTTTGTTTGCTGTAGGGCTCACTGAAGGAAGACAGAGAGAAAGAGAGCGGGGAAAGTGAGAAATCACTTCCTGGGGGCTGGCCAGGATGCAATCCCTTCTTCTCCTCCCAGGAGTTTGGGCACACATGCACATACATGGTATATTTTTCAAGCCACTGGTCCGGGCCTCGAACAGTGAAGTTGGTCATGTGGGATCCAGCTGCCTTAACCGCCACATCACCGGCTGGCTGGAGAGTTTGCATTTCTAACAGGCTCCCAGGTGATGCTGATGCTGTGGTCTAGGGACCACTCTTCATAGCATGCTTAAGGGGCATGATATCCGAGACATGAAGCTTACCTATCTTGAGGAATAATTAGGATACACTCCTTTAGAAATGTTAAATGGTCTGATTTTGTGCTTTTGGGAGATCTTATTTAACTCTCCTGAGCTTTAGTTTCTACATCTGCACAAAAGGGGAGGGAGTTTTGTGCAAGATGCTATAGTTTTCACAAGTAACAAAACTGCCTTTTTGATATCCGCAAAGGTAGATGTATCTCTGTGTCCCAGACTGTAAGTGTCTGAGGATTTATTCAGTGTTTGGAAAGCTGTCAGCAATTTTGAATGAGATTCTCCTGGGATAGAACAGTCTAAAGTGAAGACTGAAATAGGAGAAAAGATTAAAATGGGATGGTTTGAATAGTTTCTGTCACTTCTAGAAGGTCAAAATCACATGTTTATTTCATGAGAGTATGAAATTCTCCAAGCCTCATTCCATCCTTATCAGCCAGCCAGTCAGCCATGGTTTTTGCCAGCTCTCTGGAGAAAGAGATTCTTTCTCCAAAAATGCCTCTCCTTGCCATGTGGTGAAGTCCCAGGCAAGGCAGCCCCTTGGTGCACACACATGCTTTTTCCTATTCCCCTACTGGGCATTTACCCAAAGGAAAGGAAATCATTATGTCAAAGAACTCCCTGCACTCCCATGTTTATTGTGGCACTATTCACAATAGCCAAGATATTGGGACCAGCGGATGGTGTAATGGCTATGTTGCTGGACTCCCACATAGTCAACCATGGTTCAAGTCCTGGATCTGGTGGCTTAAAACTCATGCCAGGCACGTGTGGGTGTGTGCCCAAAATCCTGAGAGGAGAATGGAGGGGAAGGGATTGTGGCATGGCCATTCCCCTTGGGGGGTGATTTCTTGCTTTTTGTCTCTTTGGTGAGCACATGCACCCTATAGCAAAACTCTCTCAAACAAACAAACAAACAAAAAAACAATAGCCAAAATATGGAAGCAGCTAAGTGTCCAACAACAGATAAATGGATAAAGAAACTGTAGTAGATATCTATTAACAAGAAATTATAGTCATAAGAAAGGATGAAATCCAGTCATTTGAGGCAATGTGGACAAACCCGGAGGAAATAATGCTAAGTGAATAAGCCAGGCACTGAAAGACAATTACTGTATGTTCTTATGTTCTTATTCATTGGCAGAAGTGAAAAGATTAGGTTACCTAGAAGTGGAGAGCGTAGTGGGAAGAGGCTGGGGAGGGAATGGAGGTAGGGAGGATGGGGATAGTTGACTAATACAAGAGTGCAGGTGGATCAGTGGAATGAGCTCCAGAGTGCTGTAGCAGAGCTGGGTAACAGAAGTTGGAGACAGGTCAGTGTGCTTCGCAATAGTTGCTAGAGTGGATTTCAAGAACACTTAGCACAGAGTAATGATAGTGCTTGAGACAGTGGATGTGGCCATTGTCCTGATATGATCATTACACAATGTACACAAGTTTTGAAAAAATCCACACTGTACCCCACACATGTATACAACTATATGTAAATTGGAAAATATAATAATACAATTGAAAATATATAGTTGGGCCAGCAAGAGGCATGGTGGTTAAGGCTCTGGATCCCACATGGCCCACTCTGCAGTTCAAGTTCCAGACCTGGTGGCTTGAAAATCACACCAGACACATGTGCGAGCATACCCAAAATCCTGAGCAGAATGGAGGAGAAGGGATTGCAGCATGGCCATCCTTCTGAATTTCCTTCCTTCTCTGTCTCTGTCTCTAGCAAGTGCATGTGCCCTATGGCAAAAATTTTAAAAGGATATATATACATTATATGGCTTTCATAGAAATTCTTTCTGAGTACAGCCAAATGGCAATAGGCATTTGGCAATCTTAATACTGGACAGTAAACTCAGAACATTTTTGCATTCTG